CTATGTTAGTCTCTATCAACCTGTATCGCAAAAATAAATCCGAAAGCCATTTGTACTCCGAAACCTAATGGATTTAGGCCACGGTCACACCAGGGGAATGTTACCCACTTCTAACAATACTTTCCATACCTTTCTTGTAATGCATTGAGGTCGCGTGATATATATACCTGGATAAACATCCCAATGTGTTTTAACATTTCCGATTCATTTTCTTCCATATGAATCTTTATGGTCAGCTAAAACGTGTTACAGATTTACTTCCTCTCTTGGTTTATGGGGCATCTCAGCTCCTTAACTTTATTTAAAATAAAAAAATTAAAACAATACATCGCTATGTCATGTAGTGTTTCCTGATGGGTAGATTTCCCTCATGTTACAGATTTACCTCCGCTCTTGGTTTATGGGGCATCTCAGCCCCTTAACTTTATTTAAAATAAAAAATAAAAACAATACATCGCTATGTTATGTAATGTTTCCTGATGGGTAGATTTCCCTCCGTTGCACCGGTGCCTCTGGAAGCAATACATTGCACTCCATGGACCTGGCACCCCCACTTAGAACTGTGTCGCTTGCCAGACAGTAGGTGGAGTGATGCAACACTCTGCCTACAGCTTTTAAACTTGTTGACATAAGCTTACCAACATATCGATACTCCTGCCACAGAATTTTTAATTATTTATATATAGAGAAGGGCAGCCACGCAGCGTTAATTGTGGCCACCTTCCCCAGTGAATTTGCTTTGAAAAAGTATTGATAGGATTGTACACACACGCCATACTGCTAAGCAATACACCAAAATACTTCCAGAACAAAACAACAGAATCCTCACGGTGAGCGGGAATTGAACCATAGTCGTACTGCTGGCTGGTAAAATAAATTGCTAATGGCCATTTATCATGTGACCACAAAATTAAGCTACACTCTAACTTGGGCATAAGTATGGAATAGTTACTTTTTCTCTGTCTCTCAAACTACAACATAAACATAAACGTAAAATACATAAACCAAAATACAAATCGACTGTGTTCCTTGCCACCATAGTCAGGACCTCTTGCAGTAATCTTCTTCTTCCTCTGTCTTTATTCTTCTTCTTGCTTTATTGTCCTCTTCTCCAAAACTGCGTTAATTCATGATTTGGAGCTTCCCCTTTTCCTCTTGTTAGCAGATATTCAAGAAATCTGCCCCATATATCATAGAAATTATTCTTTTTCATCTCTCCTTTCTTAACTTTTAAGTTACAAGTTAACTTATCAATTATAGCAATATTCCATATTTCCTTATACCATTCTTCCATTCAAAATTCAGACTTTGATTTCCAGTTCTTAGCTATTATTAATCTGGCTGCGGTTAATAAATTGGTAATCAATTCTCTAGTCATCTTATCACATCCCACATTCTCAAATATTGATAGCAGAGCTATCTCAGGATTAAATTCTGTACTGTATATTATTCACATATGTAATTTAGTTCTTTAAAGATTCGTTTCCAAAATCTTTGTACTTTTTCACATTCCCACCACATATGAAAGTACGTACCAATTTCCTTTTCACATTTCCAACAGACATTCAAATAAGTAGCATTAATTTTATTCAATTTTGTTGGTGTCAAATACCATCTTAAACCCAATTTGAAAAAAATCTCTTATTCTCACCGACATAAGTCATAAAACACTCATTTGCCACATCTTCCTGCATTCTTCAGCATTTATTCTTTTTCCTAAGTTTTGTTTCTACACAAACTTCGATCCTTCTTTCTCAAACTCTTCTTCTTCTAGATCAAGCAGGAATGTATAAATTTTACTCACTGCACCCTTTACTGAATCGGTCATCTGAATATCTTCATATGATAATAGAAATTGTTCATACTTCGTATACCCCCTACCTTTATTATACTTCTTTACCCATTCATTAGTCCATCTTTCTAATTGCATATAATTCAACCATGATATATTCTAATTTTGGATTTGTTTCATTTGATCTTTCGATCTCATTTTATAAAACCAGTATTTTAATCGAATCACTATTTTCTTTAAATAATTCTGCTTAAACTTTTATATTGCCAGGAAAATTCTCTATTACAGTCACTAATCCTAATGGAGAGTCAAATGGACAGAAATTCTTTCTATACTTGAACCAGATGTTTAACATGGTCTTTAAAAACAGGGTATTAATTTCACTTACCGTATATACTTGAGTATACGCCCACCAGAATATAAGCCAAGGTACCCAATTTTACCATAAAAAACTGGGAAAATTTATTGACTCGAGTATAAGCCGAGTGTGGAAAATGCAGCAGCTACTGGTAAATTTCAAAAATAAAAATGGATACCAATAATATTGTATTGAGGCATTAGTAGGTTAAATATTTTTGAAGATACTGCCCTTCTGAGCTGCGAGAAACACTTCACTGCCTGCGGCGGGAGGACTCATACCAGATGTTGCGCTTATCTACTGCTCTACTGTTGCGTAACAAGATGGAGGGAGACGGAGGATGGAGGAGGAAGGTGGATACATAGAATATGCAGAAGGAGGAGTGTCCTGGAAGATCGGAGTGTCCTGGAAGAGGAAATGCAGTGTACTTAAGTCATTGGCCCACCCACAGAGGCTGCAGGTGCCTGTAGATGAGCAGGGGAGTCCAGAGAACACCTGCACTGCAGGGGAGAACATGTAATTTTGACACTGACTCGAGTATAAGCCGAGGGGGTGCTTTTTCAGCAAAAAAAAA